AAAAAAAATTAATTATCTGGCCGGTACATGAAATTTAGGCTGCTGGTTGATTCCCATCAGCAAGAAAGCGGTACACATGATCTTGTGATGATCCAACTTGCTACATGCATCTTCATGATGTAATTGCAATGATCGAGCAGCATTTTTCAATGATTTGACTGTTCATTCAATGATAGTATACAAAGACGAGAGTTTATTGCGGCTTAGTGTCGGCATTGCTGTTACATGTAGCTGCAGAACTGTAGTGTTATTAGCTCACCTGAGCTGAAAGCTCAAGTGAGCTTTCTGATCACATTTTGTCCGTCGACATCCGTGTGTCCGTCTGTCTGTAAACTTTTCACATTTTTGACTTCTTTTCCAGAACCACTGGGCCAATTTCAACCAAACTTGCAATGAAGCATCCAGAGGAAAAGGCGATTCAAGTTCGTTTAAATGAAGGGCCACGCCCTCTTTCAAGGGGAGATAATTAAGAATTAGTGAAAATTTGGTGGTGTCTTTAAAAAATCTTCTTCTCAAGAACCACAGGGCCAGGAAAGATGAAACTTATGTGGAAACATCCTCAGATAGTGTAGATTCAAGTTTGTTCAAGTCATGACCCCAGGGGGTAGGGTGGGGCCACAATGGGGGATCAAAGTTTTACATAGAAGTGTATAAGAAAATATCGTTAAAAATCTTCTTCTCAAGAACAACAAAGCCATGATTGGTCATATTTATATGGAAGCATCCTCAGGTATTTAGATTCAAGTTTGCACAAATCATGACCCCCGGGGGTAGGATGGGGCCACAATGGGGGATCAAAGTTATACATAGGAATACACAGGAAAATTCTTTAAAACTCTTCTTCTTTAGAACAGCTAAGCCATGATTGGTCATATTTTCATAGAAGCATCCTCAGGTAGTGTAGATTCAAGTTTGTTCAAGTCATGATCCTTGGGGGTAGGGTGGCGCCACAATGGGGGATCGAAGTTTTTCATAGAAATATAAAGGAAAAAACTTCTAAAATCTTCTTCTCAAGAACAGTAAAGCCATGATTGGTCATATTTATATGGAAGAATCCTCAGGTTGTTTAGATTCAAGTTTGTTCAAATCATGACATGTCAGAGAGAGAGAGAGAGAGAGAGAGAGAGAGAGATTACTCCAAGTAATATATAGCCCCATGCAAAATATATATATCTGTGATAGCAAATTCTCGGGAGACAATTTTTGAAAAGCAATTTTCCTTCATGCATTGTTTTCAGAAAACTCAAAGCTGAAAATTTGAAATTTATACCCATGTCAACATAGTGCAACTTTTATCTATATTGATAAAAATGTACATTAAAAAAAGTATGATTAAATAGCTAAATCTAAGTGTTTTGAATAGCAAAACCAAGCTATACCAGTATAGCTAATTCAACTACAGAGCTTAATCAATTTTAAGAGATTGTGCAAGACCTGTTTTAATCCTTAATCATTCTTAAGATATTTATATCGCCATTCCTGATTCAAGGGAGAGCTAGGCATATGACCAAAAAAGTCCATGATCTATTGATTTAATAAAGACACATGTTTGTTGTGGGAAGATCAGTAAATAATAATGACAAGTGGGAAACGACCAGGTTAATATTCACAAATTTTAGGAGTTTTCAACATTTAAGACCATGCAGACATAACTCCTTCCCCTTTTCCCCCTTCCCAGCCCCAGGCTCATTTATTTATACAAATTATTTATAACTTGTTTTGGTATAAAATAAATTGTGAATAATACAAAAATGTACATGTACACAAAGTATAATGGCGGGTCTCTGAATGATTTTCATTTTCTAATTCTAGGAGGGTGGACTGACCCTAGAGGGTCCTGAATAAAATGTCAAACAGATTATCACTAACACACTTTTGACGCAGGTCATATTGTGATCATTTCCAGTTTCAGGATGAGGATGACTTCAAGGGGTCATAACCTTTATACAATTTAATGCATAATGACTCGAGGGACAATATTATATATATGGTTAAGGGGAGAGTTTTCTACCATTTTTAAGATACAATGTATATGATCATTTGAAGTTTTAGGGGTTGGGAATGACCTCTGGGGGTCATGACCCCATATATCCTATTTAGTGTGTTATGATACAAAGATGACTTAAGGGCTTTTACTCTAATGAAAGCTATTTTATTGTTAACTTGATAGAATAATAAACCCATTTAAAACACACACTAAATATTAATAATTCCAGTGGTTATAATGATGTGCATACACCATGTGCAAAACGATAATGATAACGATAAAAGTAGTGCTCGCAGTGTGACATAATTCCACGCACGAGTCTAGAAATTTTCCAAAAAGGTGTATATTTGTAAAATTTATATTATAAATACATAAAATTTTATTTTCATAAGTTAGTGTTATCTATGCTAAATATGACAGGAAAACGGGTGAATCATGGCTGGGGGTTGATTTTTGACAAAGTTGATTGGGTCAAGATTTGGAAAGGGGTTCTCCGAGTCCTACCCAAATACTGATAAAAATTTGCACAAGTTGTCATTTTGGCATCTAATTTTTTTAAAGTTCATCAAAAAAGCCATGCACTAAAATACTTGTAATAATATTTGTTGTTTTGACAATAAATTCAAGAAGTTCCAATTATGGGTAGAAAATTAACCACCCCCTTTTTTTTTTACACAAATCTTTCAAAAATTCTCTCTTTATCAGAATTTACATTATTAGGTAATATCAGACTGGTAATGAAATATTTATATGCGCGAATCTAGAGGGGGAGGGGGGTCAGGAACCTATATACAAAATCTATATAAGAAAGCAACTAAAAGTGACCTTGGGAATCCCCCGCCCCCCTTAGAAAACACTGACCCTGTTAAGTTGGTATGAAAAGTTATACATATGAAGCTTTAAAAGTGAGCGGCCGAACCCCCTCTTCCCCACCACCACCATAAAGTAGGTTTTCACATTTGCGAGAGGAGTTTGAGTGTTTTTTTTTTTTTTTGCTTGACAAGAAATTTCTGGGTTGGATCCCCTTGGAAAAAATTCCTGGATCCACACCTAATTTAGATAAGAGGCCCATATGGGATTCATGTTCACCAGAGCATTTTATGCTTGATTTAAATGTGTGTTTCTTCCCTGGTTACCAGAATTTGAAGGAGAGCAGTCAGACCACATTTCAGGGACGTAGCAACATTTTTGAAAGGGGGGGGGGGGGGGCAGCCAGAGAGAAAAAAATTCAACTTACCTGAAAAAACTTGACAAGCCATAATTTTTTTTTTTCAAAACTCAAAAATCATGTTTCGTGGGGTGGGGTGGGGGTGTTTTCCAACTTTTTTCAGTACCCCAATTTTATATATACACTACTACATTACCTTTATTTGACTATAATGCAACAAAAAGTGGGGGGGGGGCAACCACCCTTTCATGAACATTTTCAATAGTAAAAAGTTATGTTTTGAAAAAAGTGGGGTGGGGCAGGCCTCCTCTGCCCCCCCCCCCCTCAAATGCTACGTGCCTGCATTGAGGGGCAAATTAGAAATTATGTCATTCAAACTTTTTCATATTTCAATATTTTAAGCTATCCAAAAGTACGTTCATGACCTGCTGACCCTTAAATATAGGGGTCAGCCCCCTTTTCTTGATGTTATATGAATGTTCTTGTAATTACACACAACTTTTGTTCTATATGTCCTACCAGATAAACAAAGTTCGTAGTTATGATGAAGTATTGTGCTTCTTTTACCTTTTTTTTCCAAAACTTGTGGTACCAGGTTTTGGTGTTTCGCAGGGAAGGTGGTGGGTGGGGGGGGGGGGGGGGTGGGGGGGGCTATAATGATAATGTAGTGAAGATATGTTAATTCTTTGAAAATCTTCAACTAAGTGCATAGTTATGATGATGATGGTACCTCTACCAAATTTGTGAATTTCATGACCCTGGACATGGATTTTAGTGTTAGGATAGGGCTGTGTTGAATCTGTTGTGAAAATGCATTATTCCTTTGAAAATCTTCTCTGTTTTTTGGCAAATCGAAGGCAAACAGAATAAAAGTTTAAATAAGCAAGGATATTTTTACCAGATTTTTGAACATCAGGACCAGCTCTCTATTAATTTATATTCTACTGAGAGAAGTTATTCTCCTTTGCCATTCACTTTGTGATAATAAATCACTGTAAATAATGTATTTGAAAGTCAATAGACTAAGAGAATTATGCAAAAAATGATATTGTATAATACAAAAAGTACTTTCATAGTTTTAATGATCAGGTAGACTTGTTAATAATAAATAAATCAAAATGAGACAAATATAACATGTCATTTAATGTTCTTCAAAGACCAAGAGAGGCCAATGTGAGATGTCAGACTCACAATATTGAATTAAAAGTGGCACAGAAGAACTAACAGTTTGTTAATTGTCTGCATTGCAATAGTTATAAATGGGGATAGATTAGAATTTAATTTATGAGTTGTTACTGAATACTAGACTTATTATTTCATTGATCCTGATCATCCTATTTCTCTTGCTTTTGGGCAACAAAGCTTCATCTATCAGTTTGTTTTATACTTTATGGATCCTATAAATTGTTGTATTATACTCAGGTGACTGTTAAGGCCCTTGGGCCTCTTGTTTGTGTTTTGAAACAAAGATATGGCCTACAGAAGACAGCACTAATTCAGTCAGTTCAGTATGATTTTATCAACTTCTTGCACGGATATGCGACCTTTAATTCAAGTTTTCGATAATTTCTTCACATGGCACAGAAAAACTTTGAATAGGAAAAATGTTAAGCTTCTTCTCTAGTTTCTGAAAATATAATTTGTTTTATTATATTTCAATTATTTACGAAACGCCAACAGCTTAACATCTGTGATGCTGAAGATGCGTCAAAAGGCGTCACTGGGAGAGTGCCATATGACAGTTGGATTTTTCAGCATGTCGAAAAAAAAAATCTGTATGCCTAGTATCGTCTGGGGTTCATGATTGGTTTCATTCTATTCTAAAATGATTTTTTTTCTCTGCAGGTTTCTTATGAAACTAGATGACTTCTATTTCATACTGGCAGAAATAGTTCTTGGAAATGATTCAGAATCAGGAATATCTGAAAGCAGATATGAGACATTATTTGAAAAGCTCTTGCAACTCTTTGGATTATACACTTTGTGAGTATTTAAATGTGTACAGATAAAAATCTTTTTTAGACAACCTGAGTCCCTCAAGTGACCTATTGCAATTTGTTTTTGTTCCGTCGTGCATCTTGCATTAACATTTGAACAATTTCATCTTTATCACTAAGACCACTTGATCAAATTTGGTGTCTAGCATCCATAGGAGACGGTAAACAAATTATGAAATTCATGAACCCCACCCCTTTGGTGCCACACAAAGTGATTTGGAAAATTTGCCTGAACTAAATTGAATGATTTGATTAAAAAAGGTGGAATTTGATTTTTTGCCTGCTTCAACTTTGCAGATTTAACACCATAACACTTAAAATTGTTTGTTTCCTACCTTTTCATCAGATTTAAATCAACACTATATCTAGTCAGTGTTTTCCCCAGGCCGTGTTTGCATGGCGGTACCACATGCATTCACGATCCCGTACCATACATCACACTGCCGCTATCTTCCCGCTATGCATGAATTATTAACGCTTTCCCCCTCAGAGCTTTTAAGATAAGGCGTTACTGTATACTTCCGTAGTAAGCCACTGCTGCAGCCTTATCTCAACAGCAGTCTAGCATCAGTGATAACTCCATTTACTCAGACATTTTCAGAAATTAAGGTAAATAATCACAGTGCTTATATTTATTATTATAACTCTCAAATTATTGGGTAAAAATATATAAAACCAAGTATTTTTATTTTCAGCACATTCTTATTTTTACAATGATGATAATTTAAAGCCAATCTTTTATTTTTAATCTAAGAAAATGTCAAGAGTCAGTGTATATGATCCTAAATTCGCTGTCAAGCAATTTTCGTTACTTCTATCTAAATTCCCTTTCATTTTTTTTTTGTTTCACAACATTGATGAAAAAAAACTTATTTAATAATTTTCTGATGCTCATATTTAAAAACTAATGATGTTTTAATGATTGTCAAGCAAATAATCAAACTTGTAATTATTGTTTTTGTTGCAATTTAATGGACAATCTCTGTGAAATTTTTTCATATGGTCCGAAGAAATGAAGGAATAGCAGCAGTAAATAAAATCATTTCATCTAATTTTCTTGATTCGTTTATTATATAAAATTTTTTCAATCAAATTTACTGGATTTGTTAAAAAATATTGAATACTTAACAGTGTTTAAATTTTATGCTTGGGGATGTAACATTTCGTGTCAACTTTGTTACGTCTCGCGCACAGCGCCGTTCAGATACAGACAAGGAAACTTCGATCGATTTGTTCTATTTATAGCAACTAGAGGTGTCGTAAAAGATTTATGAACTGTGGCTGTGTTCAAATTTGAAACTATTATTTCAAAAATAATCATCATAATTAGGGCCCCGCAAGGATTTGCGGGTGCCTTATAGTAATCACTCTGTCTGTCTGTCTGTCTGTCCGTCTGTCATTCTTCCATCCACAAATTTTCTGGTTTTTTTTCTAATAACTTTTTTGTAGATGACCAATTAAGTTCAGATTTGGTATGTTGGTTGAAGAGGCAATAAGACATATTTTGATGCTAAGTTTGGTTCTCTATGTCGTCCAGTTTGGAGCTGGGGTGTTTGGATAGATTCCTTAACTTAACATTAGAATGAATCCCAGGGCAAAGAGAGATAACTGCTGAGAATGTTCCTATTGTAAAGTATGAAAGCTGCAACTAGTCCCATTGGATTAATTAACTTTCCTCTAGAAGAAACTCCAAAGCAGTATCTGTTTTTGTCAAATTGATATTTATTAACACCTCGTCGCCCGCGTGGCGCAGTGGTTAGAGCGTTCGCTCTAGAGTCGCGGAGTAAGGAGTTGATCCTTATGTCGCGGGTTCGAATCCCACTGTGGGACGTGGAGACCAATCCTTCGGATGAGACCGTATAAACCGAGGTCCCGTGTCACATTAGGTGCTGGCACGAAAAAGAACCCTCACTGCTCAATAGCCCTGAGTGCTGAGTATAGGACAAAATTGCAGCTCTCCACCGGCAAGTGGTGGCGTCTCAATATGAATGAAAAATTCTCGAGAGGGACGTTCACAAACAAACAAACAAACAAACAAACGAAAAAAAAATTAACACCTCTGTCTGCAAATGAAGTTTGTTTTGAAGTTAAGGTCAATTCTGAATGATGTTTACATTCTCTGAAATGTGGATTAAAATAATGTTCATACTTTATTTTGGTAAACTGCACAATGAGTTATGATTTTATTGAATTCTTAAAACAAGATATACATCAAGATATGTTTTTTTATTATTTATTTATTCATTTTTTTTTCTGCCGTATGTAAATTCAAGAATACTATTAATTTTAACAGGTAGTCCGATAATAAACTAATTCTATCAATACTTAAAGTGACAGTACGGCGCGTCTCATCAAAAAACTGACTAGATAAAATTTTCCGACAAGACTTGGAATTTTTTTACTACTTATAAATGTATAAACTTTCAGAAAATTACAACTTTTACAATTAAATAATTTGGATTATTTCATTAAAATTAATAGTTATTCATGGGACGTAAATATATACATCGCAACGTGTTCGGGGTTCCACATTCCATGCTATGCACGCATGCGTAGTTTTCATAAACAAAACAGCATGGTTAGAGAGGGAATCCCGGTAGGCCTGCTACATTGACAAAGTCGACCAAAAAGAAAAAGAAACTGAAAACAGAACTTGAAAAAGCAACTTTCCTGACTAAAATTTAGTTTGGGGATTAATATAATCGCTGGATAAGGAAGAAACGGGAACTCGGCGACACTCACGCAGGGCTCTCGAAGGTTCTATTCGACAGGTTTGTTGATACTTGTTATCATTTCCTCATTTTTCCGTCGCTTTCAAAGAAAAAAATAGTGTAAGCTCAACATAAAAAATACATCTTTGACTTATAAACATTGTTGCCATTTGAAATGCTAATTTTTTTTAACTGTGCAGAAACATATTTTGTTTGACATTTACCGCGATAACGTATGATTAGTTGGTTTTTCCTTTCTCGGACCCCAATACACAAAACGTAAACATTTGTACTTTAATTTCTGTTAAATTCGCCTGAATGCAGACTAAAATCTTTTCGATTATTATTTTAGATTATTTTATCAGATAGTTATGATAATTTGTGTTTTTGAAAATTGCTTTCACCTAATATTCATTATAAATGTAAACGCTACAGTATAGTCACGTGCCGTTTTAAAATTCACGTGGTACAAATAAACAGATCTAAGATTGCTCCAGTTCGTACGACCCTTGATTTTCCGGCAGATTCTAATTACGTTAATTTTGTTTGAGTAGAGAATATTTCTGTTTCTCAAACTGCTTACATCAACTTTATACCTTATTTCTTAATGACATATTGGGTAAATTTGGATGAAAAAGCACATATTTTGCAGCCGTACTGTCGCTTTAAAAAGTTCTTATTGTAAACTTGGAAGAAAAGTATGAGAGAGCAGTACAATTAATCCTCTGGGATTAATTATCTTGTCGGGCAGAATATTTTCCAGGCTTATCTTTATTTGTCACTTTAAGATAAATTAACCTTTGTCTGCAACTGATGTTTATTTTGAAGTAAAGGTCAAGCCTGGGTGATATTTGCATTCACTGAAGGCTGGCATTTTATAAAACACATGCTTTATTCTTGTTTAAATATATATAATTATAAATTATATATAAAATCGTACTTCGAGCCCGATACGTCAGTCTTGAAAGGAAGGGATTGTGCATTTCTGAACAGATTACATCATTTAATAAAAATTACCATAGATATTCATTAAAACATCCCTTCCTCAAGGGTGGGTACTACATCAAGACAATATTGTGGCGGGCATCTGATCCCTTCAGTGTTTATGTGACTCATAAAATTCCAAACAAACTTCGACTTTTACCAAGGTAAGTCTCGTTTAATTGGGGAATTTAATTGAGTTATTATAAGACGCAATGTTTTTACTGCCTTATGTAAATACAAGGATACTATTAACAGGTTTTTGGATACTCAGGAATTTTCTTTAAATTTTAAGAATACAGTTGCTGCTGCTTATTCTTCTTATTCGTACATTTTTGAATTTTGAGGTCACCTGAGTCACTCAGGTGACCTATTGCAATCCGTTTTCGTCGGTGTGCATCGTGTGTTAACATTCGAACATTTTTAGCTTCTTCTCTGAAACCGCTTAATCAATTTCAACCAAATTTGGCATATAGCATCTGTGGGTGAAAGGGAATAAAAATTGTGAATTTCATTGTCACTGCCCCCCTAGGGCTTAAACCACCAAAATTAATGCAATCTTTAAAAATCTTCTTCTTTACTCCTGGACATCAAGCAGTCAAACTGTTGGCATGATTGTAATAAGCATTGAGCCTTATACCAAAATTGTGAAATTCATGGCCCCAGGGTCAGGGGTTCTGGTGCTAGGGTGGGACTATATAGATCATATAGTGAAAGTGCATTATTCCTTTGAAAATCTTCTTCTCTGCTCTTGGGTATTAAATAAAGTAACTAAGTACATAATTATGATGAGCAAGACTGTCTCTTCCAAAATTATGAATTTTATGGCCCCAGAGTCAAGGGTTCTGTTGCTAGGGTGGGGCTCTATTGATTATATACTAGTGAAAATGCATCAATTCTTTGAAAATCTTATTCTCTTCTAACTAAGTACATAGTTATGAAGAGCAAGAGTGCCTCTTCTAAAATTGTGAATTTCATGGCCCCTGGGTCAGGGGTTCTCGTGTTAGGGCGGGGCTCTATTGATCATATAGTGAAAATGCATTAATTCATTGAAAATCTTCTCTGCTCCTGGGTATTAAATTAAGTAACTATGTACATAGGTATGAGGAGCAAGAGTGCCTCTTCCAAAATTATAAATTTCATGGCCCCAGGGTCAGGGATTCTGGTGTTAGGGTGGGGCTCTATTGATTATATAGTAAAATTGCATTTATTCGTTGATAATTTTCTCTGCTCCTGGATATTAAATAAAGTAACTGGGAACATAATTATGAAGAGCAAGAGTGCCTCTTCCAAAATTGTGAATTTCATGGCCCCAGGTAAAGGGTTCTGGTGGACAGGCGGGTCTCTATTGATTATATAGGGAAAATGCATTAATTCTTTGAAAATCTTCTTCTCTGTTCCTGGGTATTAAATAAACTAAGTACATAATTATGATGAGGATGGTTGCCTCTTCCAAAATTGTGAATTCCATGGCCCGTGGGTCAAGGGTTCTGGTGTTATGGCGGGGCTCTATTGATTATATAGGGAAAATGCCTAAATTCTTTCAAAATCTTCTTCTCTGCTCCTGGGTATTATTCAAACAAAGGAAATGCATGGTTTTGATAAGGAAGAATGCCTCTTCCAAAATTGTGAAATTCATGGCCCCTGGGTCAGGGGTTCTGGTAAAGGGGGGGGGGGTGACTGTTGATTATATAGTGAAAATGCATAATTTCTTTAAAAAAAAAATTTCTACTACTGGTTATAAAGCAAAGAAACAAGTGTATAGTTATGATGAGCAAGGGTTCTTCTTCCAGAATTGTGAGTTCATGGCCCCTGGGTCAGATGTTCTGGTGTAAGGATGGGGCTTTATTTGTGTAATAATATAGTGAAAATGCATTTATTTGAAAATCTTCTATGCTTCTGGGCATATTCGAGGCATACAGAGTAAAAGTTTTAATATGCAAAGGTATTTTTACCAGAATTTTGAACACCTGGACCATTTAGTCAAGTGTTCTGGTCCTAGCCAGGGCTCTATTAACTTGTATTCTGCTGAGCAAAGATATTCCCCTTTGCCATTCACCTTTGATAATTAATCACTGTAAACAATGTATTTGAAAAGTCAATAGAATATGAGAATTATGCACCCTTGTACATGTAATTCTACCCTCAGCGGGGCCCTTGCTGACTGGTCAGTTTTCTAGTTATAGAAGTATCCTCAGGTAGTGTAGATTCAAGTTTGTTCCAATTATGACCCCTGGAGGGTAGGACAGGGCCACAACAGTGGGTCAAGGTTAACATAGGAATATATAGGTGTAATGGTTAAGGGGCATCAAGTAAACCGCATTGAAGACTTCAAATAGTGGAATCACCCGACAACCCATAGGATGGACTATCCTAAGGGTATATAAGGCAAAACTCTAGAAAAGTCAGGCATTCAGAAGGTAGATAGAAAAGTTAGACATTGAATCAGCAATAAAGAAGCTAGGTATCCCATCTTAATCATGTAAAAGATTCAATGAAGTTGAGTACATAACAGATGTGTAGATGTTAAATACTCACTATATTTAGACATAATTCCCATTTATTACTATTAGCATGTAAGGATGGGTTGTGTCCTAATTTATGATCTTATTGCTTATAAGTGGCCTAATTTATGACCTTATTGCTTACAAGTGGCTTATAAAACATAAGTTTGTATTGATTTTTTATGTAAGGGCTATGGGCCTATTGTTTTTTTTTAGCGTATTTGTGAAAATTAGAATAGCAGTGAATACTTTTAATCTTAGGCCCATTTTTTTTTTTTTTTTTTTTTTTTTTTTAATTTTAAAATCCGTTCGGAGGGAAAAAAAACAAAGTACTTTCTGATGTCTTCAAAGTTGATGCATATATATATATATATATATATATATATATATATATATATATATATATATATATATATATATATATATATATATATATATATATATATATTTAAGGTTACAGCATGATTTTCGTTACGTTCTGTTATATGTCCCCAATAGATTACCCGTGTTTTAATTTATTGGCTGAAAAAGATTGTGAAGGCTGGCTGAACGTTAAAATAAATGTTGTTATCCGAACCCTCCATGTCGTTCAACCATGTGGTGGTTATTTACTAATGATCAATGTTAAAAATGCGCATTTAAATTATCATACTTGCGATGCAGTAAAAAGCGTTTCTGTGACTGCTGTGTTTACACTTGGAATTCCTCGGATGGCTCGTACCTCGCACACTAACCTCAGACGTCAAAGGTTTTCTACCATCTTGCTTCAGTCATGTGATTTTATTTGAATTTCTTTCAAATGTCACACATTTGAAATCTGAGTTATTTTGTGGCACGCCCAACACTTTGTTCTTGCTTTCAAAGCCTACTAACATTAAGTTGTGATCAAAACCTATTTACAATGAAGGATTAGACAAATTAAGAAACCTTTTGGAAGAACTCTATGCAGAGCGAAATATGAAATGAGTGACAAGGCAGTTTCCGGCGGAGAAATGTATCGACCTGATGTGTATTCGTCCTCCAATCACATCCGAAGTTTGAATGGAGCGTAGCGGAGTCAGCCGAGGATTGCCGATTGCTGTGTTTAGGAATTGGGTATATCGATCCCGATTTTCATTCATTTATTTTTTGGGGTAACGAGAAATTGTCTTCGGCGGGAACGTAAATAGAAGAGAAATTCCATTTTATTTTTTTTTCTAATGTTGCAAAAAATCGGTTCGGCGGATCCGTAAACCAACTTAAAAAAAAATAAGGCCTTACTTGATGTGTTATGACTTAAACTCTGTCTTTAATTTGCAGGAACCACTCTTTTATAAGTACTGAAAAAGCTATGATCCGAGGGAGAACTATGTCCTCTAAAGCTGACATAACCGTGTATTCCCAAGTGAGACAAAAACAAAAATCGGAGAGGAAAGTGGTTTTCATTTGTGAGGTATGATTGATATGATATGCACATAAAAATGTGTGTGTAAGTTAAAAGTACATTCTTAGATTATCTTCAACTTTTAAAGACATACATGCTATATAAACACGATTTTTTTATGTGAAACAAAATAATTAAATGCTTTGAGAAACATGATGTGTAATAAAAAATAATTACTTTCCGCAAAGCTTTACTAAATAAGTCGTTGTAATTACATAACAATTAAGCAAGACCTGCAATTAAAAATTCAGCCTTTTCATGAATATTGATGAAGGAAGTGAGTAAACAATATATAGACACGCATGTCCGCGGGAAATCATAGACGATGAGGTACGTTGCATTTTGACTACGATTATGGATAAAAGGTTAATATCTGTCATTACAGAGTAGATGATTGTTTTAAAAGATAAGTATCTTTAAGCATAAGATGTGTGCCATCAATGTCAAAAGTTATTTGTATACCGAACGACCTACCTCGTTTTCGTTTATCAATCTAAAAGTAGCGACGGTGTCACATGACGCATGAATTTAAATAGAGGCATTACTTTCCTAGTAGGAAGATAAATGATTATAATTTGAGATCTTTATAACACGTTCATTTTCAATTGTGTAATTTAGAGTATTTTCGTAACTTTATTTGGTAAACAAAATATTGAATAAATTTCGAACTTTATTTTTAACTGACGCAAGTTATAGCTTGTATATCTTTAGCTGCAGGTGAGAAATTTTGGGTTTGTTGGTTTGCACTCAATTTTCAAAAATTATAACGAAATAAACTTTTACACTGAGAAGTATTAAACAAGCTGTGTAATTTGAAAAAAGAGGCCCATTTTACAAAAGAACTTACAACTAAGACCAAAAACTTCAATGAAATGTAAAATTTTGCAAAATTAATGATTCTGTTTAAAATTGCTACCCTAAAATATCTTTCTTGTTACTGATTCCTTTTAAAAAGATTAAATCCATTTTCAATTTAGTGTAATCTAGAAAGTTACGAGCAGAAAAAAATTTGGTCTTAGTCGTAAGCTTTTGTAAAATGGGCCCCAGGATCGTAGTATTTGTGATATGTTACTGTAAACCAACTATTTTTTGCATCATCTTTTATTCGCCATTCGACAGTTTGACTAAATCTGCGTTTATTTTTTGCATCTGAGGAATTATTCTTTACAAATACAAAGCAAAGTAAATGGTTTGCGACAATTAATTTTCACGATTTAAAGTAGTTCGCGATACTCTCGGATATTTCTCATGGTTTACAGTACTTGAAAGGATGACTATTGATTAATACAAGTAAACCTTGTTATCTTGACATCGGCGGGACTATCGGAAAACGTCGAGGTATCCGAGGTGTCGGGATATTGGAGTTAGAATTCCACGTCCAAGATTTAAATTTCGTAGCAAATCTAAAAAGTCTCCACATACATGACTTCAATAGACAATAACTCGTCTTATTTCAGCAATCCATCTGTTTTTATTATAACATCTAAGGAGTTATTAAAAAAATGTTCTTTCTCTATATCGAAATCTTTCTAAGTTTTCAAAGTTTTCCATCCAGCATTTCATGTGTAACTTGCTTTTTTGTCCGAACAGGAGACAAAATGTGTTCTATAAACTTCAAGCCTATAAAGTCGACATCTGAGATTTGGAAATTTTTTTTTCTTATTTCATTCCAGGAGAAAGCTCATTAAAATCAAAATTTTAAAATATGTATATTTGAACTAATGTAATGATGTTACCTGTGCATGAATTACGGCTAATTCAGTTATTCATGTCATTGATTAGATTGTTTCCTGTTGAATGCATTTTTACCACAAAGCATCATTAAAAATATTGTTTAATTCCTAAGTTATAATTAAATTCAATTTGTTTTTATTCATTGTAATTCAGTTACCTTTTTTAACTCTTCAGAGCCAAAGGCTCAAAGAGCTAATGCTATGGCCATTTGTGTGGTGTGCGTAAACTTTTTAGAATATGGGCCATAACTCAAGAACCCCTTGGCCAATTATTGTCAAATTTGTCACAGGGCATCCTTGGCCCAATGGCTCCCATTTATACTAAAACTAGGGTTGTGACCCTTAAACAAGGGGAGATAATAAAGTTAATTAAACCAAAAGTACTGGTTGCTAAAAAATCATCTTCTCAAGAACCACTGGGCAGATTATCACCAAACTTACACAAAAGGATGAAATATGTTGTAGATTAAATTTAGCATGGGGAAGCACCTGGGGCAAAGGGCGTGTTCTCATGGTCACTTCAAAGTTGACCGAAAGTTACATTTTATTAAAATGTTGATCTTTTGCTTACTTTAAGGACTAGGATCATCAAATCAGATGATGCATCTAAGGACCTTGTATCATGTTGACTCAAAAGTAGATTACGATGACCTACTTTTTAAATTTTGCGACCATTCTTTTTCAAAATGATTTGGAGGCATATTTTGAACAATTTAAGGCCGATGATCATCAAACTTTGTCAGTTGATGTATCTTGGGTCCTCAGAGTACGTCAACTGAAAAGTAAGTCAGCTTGACCTAATTTTTGAATTTTATGGCTAATCTTTTTCAAAACAATTAAGGTCATCAGTGGTCATTAATTTGAATACTGAGAGATTTAGGAATCATTAAATCTTGTAAGATGATGCATCTTGGCGCCATAAAACATATTTATTAAAAAGTAGGTCACAGGAATTCAATTTCAAAGCATTTTAGAGGCATAATTTGGACATTTTACGGCGTATCATCATAAAACTTTGTGAGTTGAAAAATGTCAACTGAAAAGTAGGTCACCATGACCTACTTCTGAAATTTTTAGGGCTATATTTAAATATTTTGGGTACTATTTAAGGGGAGTTAATTAAGAATTATTGAAAATTTGTTGGTATTTGACAAAAAATCTTTTTTAAAAACATTTGGCCAGAAAAGCTGAAATTTACGGGGAAACATCCCTAGGCAGTGAAGATTTAAGTTTGTTCAAATTATCATTATGTTCTGGGGTAGGATTGGGCCACAATGGGTGGTCAAATTTTTACAAAGAAATATATATTGAAAAACTTGTTCTAAAAACCCCATTTGCCTAGAAAAAGCTGTAACGTGTGAAAGCATTCTCAGGTAGTGTAGTTTTAAGATTGTACAAATCATGATCCCCGGGGTAGGATGGGGCCACAGATGGGGGTGGAATTATTATATATAGGAATCCTTAAAAATCTTCTAAAAAAGACCATCTGCCTAGAAAAGCTGCAACTTTTGTGAAAGCATCCTCAGATTGTAGATTCAAGTTTGTCAAAATCATGATCTTTGGAGATAGGTTTGGACCACATTAGAGGGAGGGAGGGGGGACGGGTCCAATTTTACAGTGAATAAATGTAAAATTATTCTCGAAAACTGCAGTGTTATATGGTATTACTTATATGCAAGCATCTTGACATATTGTTGATTCTCAATTGTTTAGAATGTGGCTCCTGGACATTCTTTTGCCCCACAAAGAATTCAAAGTTTTAAGCTAAGGTTTATATATTTGTATACAGTCTAGACTGCCATAGTTACCGTCTGTATTAAGGTATTCAATGTATAATGAATGGATTCTGAACAATTTTCAATCATATAAAACTAGTTAAAAATGCATTACTAGATAACGATGAAAGGGAAATGAACAAAATTCATGTAACTGTTAACAGCTGGTCATTTTGCACCTTAAAGTTTTTGAAGAGTTATTTGCCCTTGACGAAAAAAGAAAATTTTAATTATGTCAAAATATCTGTGGTAAATAATTTATTTTATTTCATATTTTAATAGAGAGAGTTTATGCATATTTTCACCAAGAGATCTGTATGAAATTCAAATTACTTTTTACAATATCTTATTAAAACCTGCGCTGCCCATAGACTTCAATGTAAAATTCAAGGTGAAAGGACTATATTCGGTAATGACCAATATTTGCCCCCCAAAACCAAACTTTGACGGAGAAATATCTAATTATGTTCTAAAACAGGGGGATATCTGCAGACTTCAAAGCACTGAATATTTTCATAAGCCATGACGCCATATGTTAGATATGACGTCAGGAAAATGACGTAAATTCAAAATTTCCATGATTTATACAGAAAAAGGTGTATATTACGTCGATATTTTGAGTAAAAGTCACCGAGCGCAGTTCTACTCCAACTCAATATTTTGATATAATGTGTAGAATGATAATATCAATGAAATATGTCAATATTGTTCTGGAGCAGGCCTGCGCTCTATAAATTTTATAGTAAAAATTGAATAAATTTTGTCCATTTTTTACTCTTTCTGAAAAATAACACAAAATCCGAATAATTTGTGAGGTCATAGAAACAAAAAATGCCAAGAACCTACTTTGAAAGTATAATATTTTTGTTGATTTAGATTTCTCACATAATATACACAATTCAGTACATTTCAAGAAATTTTCAAAATATGACTTTTTGGGGGGCAAAAATATGCATATACCGCATATAGTTCTTTATTTCATAATAATCAATTTTTTGTAAATTCCTATGGTGGAGTATTTTTATTTAAGGATAAATAATACAAACAAACTTTTTTTTTCAATAATCAGCAATATTTTTCATAGAATAATATTCAGATAGGTAACCTGAATGATATATCCCAAGTAAAGGGGGAAAATTTTGCAAATTTTTTTTTCTCACAATGTCAAAAATATGTGCAAAATTTTGTATTGAAATACATAGAGAACGATACAAAGTCGCCTATCTAAGCACCAAACAAAACTTACGATTTGTTTATTTTTTAAGGATTTGTTATTTATGTCATTTCCATTCAAAGTCAGTCAAAAAATATATATCAATCAATGCATCAAAATCTTTGTTTGTGGTATGTACCCTTAATATTAATAACACCTTCAAAATGCTACCATGATTAAAAATATTGGACCATTTATTTATTAGGTACAAAACATGGTCGTTATACATTGAATACATTAAGCGACTGTCTTATGCGATCATAGTTAGACCCACCCAACGTAATTTTCTATATGAACAGACTGCATTAAGCGACCCCTGCCTTACGCGACCATAATATTTAGGGCCCAGAATGTAGTCAGTAATCAGTGTAGTCTGTTATATTAATTTGAACTGCTATAGAGATTGGTAGTTTAGCTGTTAATTGTTACTTTGTACACACGTCTTGGCCATACAATGGACATCAAAGAAATGGCAAAATTCAATTCATCGCCAAATTCGTTATACTGCCATGATTTATCAATAACAAAATTTGGTGGTTTATCGAGAATTGACTGTATTTTTAGCCCATATATGTTTATATATACCCATATTTGTGTGTGTTTATCTGATAATTAATTTATATTCAGGTAAAAAAAAACCTGCAAGAAGATGAGCTAGATTCTTCCCCTCCAAGGAAGAAACAAAGATCTTCCAGCACCCAAGAACAAGAAGAACCTGAATGTTCTTTCAGAGATCAAGATCTTTGGATGCAACATATCGGGCAGCTTTTTGTTTACCTGGATTCGTCTTTGAGCTTGCAGGGGACACTTGGCTTCACTGTTGAAAAGACTTGGGTAATTTGTTTCAAGCTTAAATATAAATAGAGAATACAATAACTTTTGGCTCTGCAATAAAATGATCGGGGCATATCGTGTCTGTTCGAGTTTTTTGGTAAAATGGGGAAATTGACAAAAGTAGAATGAAAGACACATGCAAATTTTATTTAAGTCTTGAATGTATTAGGTTTCAGGAAATTACCGGTTTATGAACTTAAATAATCTACTTTTATGGAGAAATAATTTTAGTTTGCCCCAACACAAAAATATTGCTTCAGTTCCTCCGCTAAGGTACGCATGCAGAGAAAAATTGAAGACGTTACCATGGTGTCAATTCCATAGATATAAATGACGGATGACTGAGGATTTTGATATAATCTTCAAAAAAGATGATCAGAATGTATTCCTCACTTTTGATTGCTACAATATAATGTTGTTTACAAGTTTCAAAGTAATTTCTGGATTGGATTTTTTTTTACTGTGATGGACACCCCCCCCCCCCCCCGCCCCCTTGGAAAAAAATCCTGGATCTGCATCTGCACCCGCAACACATCCCTAAAACTTGTGGAAAGTCGGTTTCGTCTTTAAACTGTTTAAAAAGTTTAGTGCTTAACTGAGAAAAACACTATTTGTGTAGCATATACTGTGCTGCACATTGTCAAATGCATGTTAATACCCCCCCCCCCCCCACACACGCACACATTGGATCAAAATGACCAAAGGGGATAGGATGGGGATTAAATACTAAACAATCAAGGTCAGATATATATGTTTTCTTCCTATTTCCAAAATCTGCAAGCATACCCCCCCCCCCCCTCAAATGGTCGTCGTAAGATCTAAGTTTGCACATCTCGAGTTTTCAAACTGTCATACTCATGAGCATCTCTTTCACATCCTCTAGTAATTTTTGATTACCTAGGTATACGGAAACTTTTTACTAAAGAGATTTAGTTTGAGTGTTGTACTGCAATTTCTTGATAAAGAAGAAAATATTACCATTTATACAGTTTCAACAACAACAAAAAGTCATTTTTTTATGAAAAAAAAATTATCACTAACATTGCAATTGTAGCAAAAAATAAAAATAATTAAATTCCATGTCAAATAATTATTCCATATTAAATAATTCCTTGTTCAAAGTAAATCCAACGTTTCTACTCATCAATACATTAAAATAACCAAGTATAAGCGTTATAACAACACAGGTTGTTATTTCAGTCGTGGTTACACATGTGAATCGTACTGGAACCTTATTTCAATAGTGCTTGCAACAGGTTTTTGATTTTGAAATGCACTTTCAAGCACTATTGAAATAATTATTTCAATAGTTAACGTTATTTCAATAGTGGTTGGAACACTGTGTTGTGGTCGGTCCGTCCACAAGCTTTGTGCAATCTATAATTCCGGAACTCTTTCATACTTGATAAGTTGATGTATCTCAAATAGCAGATAACCCTATTGATTTTGAGTTCAAAAGGTCAAGGCCATTTCTCTACTACCTATATTAAAGGATTGTGCACCCTCAGAAACATCTCTTGTTTATTAAAATTTGTCAGTTATCTGTCATTTCAATGTCTTTTTACTCTTGATTCCTGGCAACACATTAAACACTAAACAGTCCCACAATAGATGCTGATATTGCACATTTTGACTTAAGATGAAAAGATTAGTTTACAACAGATCTGAAGTATCTGTTAAGATTTGATCATGTAACATGATGTAAATAAACCAAAATAATTTAACTATTTAGAAAAAAGTTATTGACCTTATATTGATAATTTGGGTTTACTGTTAAAATGCTTTTGAAAGCCTAACACACTGTGTAATTATACTGTCAGTAAGTATTAATAAATTAACTTTTATAAGTTTTTAGGTCATGTGAGTCACTCGGGTGACCACCAAACTTAATGCAATTTTTAAAAATCTTCTTCTTTACTCCTGGACATCAAGCAGTCAAACTGTTGGCGTGATTGTAATAAGCATTGAGCCCTCTACCAAAATTGTGAAATTCATGGCCCCAGGGTCAGGGTTTCTGGTGCTAAGGTTGGCTATATTGGTCATATAGTGAAAGTGCATTATTTCTTTGAAAATCTTCTCTGCTCCTGAGTATTAAATAAACTAAGTAAGTACATAGTTAGGTTGAGCAAGAGTGCCTCTTCCAAAATTGTGAATTTCATGGCCCCTCGAATGCCTCGATCAGTGGTTTTGGTGCTAGTTTTGGGCTATATTGATTATATAGTGAAAATGCATCAATTCTTTGAAATTCTTCTTCTCTTCTCCTGGGTATTATTTAAACAAAGGAAGTGCATGGTTATGATAAACAAGAATGCCTCTTCAAATTGTAAAATTCATGGCCCCAGGATCAGGGGTTCAGGTGAAAAAGGGGATGGGGCTCTATGGACTATATAGTGAGAATTCATAATTTCTTTCAAAATATTTTTTCTACTCCTGGTTATAAAGCAAATAAAAAAGTGATGAGAAAGGATGCTTTTACAACATTTTTAAAACTTGTGGTCAAAGGGTTCTGTTTTTCTGAGAAAGAGAGGGGGTGGGGCTTTATTGATAATATAGTGAAAATATGAATTCTTTGAAAATCTTTAACTATTTGCATAGTTATGATGATGAGGGCACCTCTTCCAAATTTGTAAATTTCATGACCCTGGGCCACGGGTTCTGGTGTTGGGTAGAGCTGTGTTAAATCTATAGTGAAACCAGAATTTTGATCATCTGGACCATTTAATCAAGTGGCCAGGGCTCTATTAATTTGTATTCTACTAAGTGAAGTTATTTCCCATTGTATTTGAAACGTTAATAGAATTAGAGAATTATGCAAGAACATTTATTGTATATAATACAAAAAGTACTTTCATAATTTTGATGATCAGGTAGACTTGGAAATAATAGATGAATAAAAATGAAACAAAAATAACTTATATTTTTAAATGTTCTTAAAAGGCCAAGCGAGGCCAGTGTGAGAGGTAATGATATGGGGTTAAAAAATAGATATTTTATTTAAAGTCTGCATTGTAATAGTGATAAATGGTGGACAGATAGATAGATACTAGACCAATTATTTTGTTGATCTTAATCGTACTATTTTTTCTTGCTTTGGGGTAACAAAGCTTCATTTATCAGTTTATGGATCCTCTAAATTGTTGTATTCAGGAGACCTTTAAGGCCCTTGGGCATCTTGTAAATTTTTATTATTAGCCATTCATCATTATCACCTATGGTTCCTTCAGTGGATTAATGAATGTATCAGGGTTAACAGTGATTTTTTATGTCACCTGAGTTTACTCAGGTGACCTATTGCTATCTGTTTTCGTCCCTCGTCGTCCATCATGTGTTAACATTTAAACATTTTCAGATTCTTCTCTGAAACCACTGAGCCAATTTCAACCAATTTTGGCATATAGCATCTTTGGGTGAAATGAAGTAAAAATTGTGAATTTCATGGCCCCTGCCCCCTGGGGACTGAGGGATGGAGCTAAAACCATCAAAATAAATGCAATCTTTAAAAAATCTCCCTCTTTATTCCAGGACACCAAACAGCCAAATTGTTGGCATGATTGTAATCAGCATTGAGCCCTCTACAAAAATTGTGAAATTCGTGGCTACAGGGTCAGGGATTCTTTTGCTAGAATGGGACTCTGTTTAATATATAGTGAAAATATGTCTTTAAAAATCTTCTCCTTTGTTCCTGGGTATTAAGAAGATGGACTACCTACGTAGGTATGATGAGAAAGGAAGTCTCTTCAAAAATTAGGGCAGGGCTAAGACTAATGATTATTAAGTAAAAATGCATTAATTCTTTGAAAATCTTTTCTCGTTCCTGGGTAATAAGCAGATGACTACTTACGTAGCTAAGGTGAGTTTGTCTTCCAAACTTGTGAATTTTATGGCTCCTGGGTCAGGAGTTTTGGTGTTAGGATGGGGCTCTAATGATTATATAGTGAAAATGCATGAATTCTTTGAAAATCTTCTCCTCTGATCATGGATATTATCCGATGATCTAAGTACATAGTTATGATGAGCAAGGGTCTGTCTTCCAGAATTGTGAATTTGAAGACCCCTGGGTCAGGAGTACGGGGGGAGGGGGTTCTTATGATTATATACTGAAAATGCTTAATGCTTTGAAATCTGCTCATTGGTATTAATCAAACATTTATGATGAGCAAGGGTGCTTTTTCCATAATTGTGAAAGTTGTGGCCCTAGGTTCAGGTCCGTGGAAAGGGGGCACTACTGATTATTGCTGCTTATTATTGATTAGTGGAAATGCATTTGTTATTTGTTCCCCTACTCTGCCACTGCGTATTAAATAATCAAACTAAATGTTAATGTATAGTTATAATGAGCAATGGCATCTCTTTCAAAATTGTGAATTACATGGCCTCTGGTTTAAAACACGAACCAAATTCAATTGGAAAGTTGTTACATGATACTCGGGTGACCTATAAGGCCCATGGGCCTCTTGTTTTGTTTTTGAAACCACCAACCCTCCTTTTGAATTGGGAAAAATTAGCGACATTTTCCTCAAATTGGAAAATTTCTTTTGTAGTAAATAAGAATGCTAAAAAATACATAAAATAGTGAAAAGTAAGTAACAACAACAGTTTCTGTTTTATTTAAATTCATAAAATAATCATTAAGAAAAAAAAAGCATTTAGACTCATAATCTAGGAAAGTGTCTTATATTTATAATCAAGTTTACAGTCTTGACTGTTTAGTTTTTAGTTTGAGTTTACTATTGCTATCTGTTTTCGTCCGTCATCGTGCATTGTGTGTTAACATTTGAACCACGTTCAGCTTCTTCTCTGAAACCTCTCAACCAATTTCAATCAATTTTGGCATAAAGCATGTATGGGTGAAGGGGAACAAAAGTTGTGAGTTTCATGTTCCCTGCCCCCCTGGGGCCTGAGGGGTGGGGCCAAAACTACTAAATTTAAAGCAATCTTTAAAAATCTTCTTCTTTACTTCTGGACATCAAGCAGCCATACTGTTGGCATGATTGTAATAAGCATTGAACCCTCTATCGAAATTGTGAAGTTCATGGCCCCTGGGTCAGGGGTTATGGTGTTAGTGTGGGGCTCTAATAATTATATAGCGAAAATGCATAAATTCTTTCAAATCTTCTCCTCTGCTCTTGGGCATTAAGCCGATGTATTAAGTACATAGTCATGATGAAGAAGGGCGCCTCTTTCAAATTTGTGATTTTCAGGGCCCCTGGCTCAGAGGTTCTGGTGTTAGGGGATGGGAGCTCTATTGATCATATAGTGAAAATGCACACATTTTTAAAAAATCTTCTCCTCTCCCCCTGTATATAAAGCAGATGAACTAGGTGCATGGTGATGATGATCAACAGTGTTTCTTTCAAAATTTTGAAATTTATGGCCTCAGGGTGAGGGGTTCTGCTGGAGGGGGGGGGGGGTATTTATTATATAATGAGAGTGCATTGTTTCTTTGAAAATCTTCTTCTCTGCCCATTTTTATTGAGGAAATATACTAAGTGCATGGTTATGATGAGCAAGAGTGCCTCTTCCAAAATTGTGAAAATTTTGGCCCCTATAGAGAATCTAAAGTGAAAATGTATTATTTCCTTGAAAATCTTTTTCTCTGCTCCCGGACATATAGGAGGCAAATAGAGTATATAAAGTTGTAATAAGAAGGGGTGTTTTTATCAGATTTTGAAATTCTGTACCATTTGGTCAATATATTAATTTATTAATTTCTACTGAAAGAAGTTATTCCCGTTTGCTATTCACCTATAATAGTAAATCTCTGTAAATAATGTAACTTAAAAGGTCAATTGAATAACAGAATTATACAAGAAATTTTATAAAATTTAATTCAAAAGTACTTCATAGTTTTTAATGGTCGGGTAAACTTTTAAGAAAAATAGAGAAATAAGAATAGGACAAAAATACTACATTATGGTACAATAAATAATCTTTAAAGAAGTAGAGAGGCCAATGCAAGGGGGAATGAAATGTGTTAATTAATAGTGCCCTAGAACTATTGTTTTATTTAATCTGCATGAGGAATAGTTACAAATGGGGGAAAGTACAGGCAAATAAATAGATTAACTTTAAGATTTGTTTCTGAGTACAAAATTGATATTTTGCTTATCCCTGATTATCCTATTTTTCTTGCTTTTGGGCAACATAGCTTTATTTATCAGCTTATTTTGTTTTAATATATGGATCATTTCATTATATTCCGGTGACTGTTAAGGCCTCTTTTTTAGCTCACCTGAGCCGAAGGCTCAAGTGAGCTTTTCTGATCACATTCTGTCCGGCGTCCGTCTGTCTGTTCGTCTGTCTGTCTGTCTGTCCGTCTGTCTGTCTGTCTGTAAACTTTTCACATTTTTGACTTCTTCTCAAGAACCACTGGGCCAAATTCAACCAAACTTGCCACAAAGTATCCTTGGGTGAAGGGGATTCAAGTTTGTTCAAATGAAGGGCCACGCCCTCTTTCAAGGGGAGATAATTAGGAATTTGTGAAAAATTAATGGCATCATTTAAAAATCTTCTTCTCAAGAACCACTGGGCCAGGAAAGATGAAACTTATGTGGAAACATCCTCAGGTAGTGTAGATTCAAGTTTGTTCAAATCATGACCCCCGAGGGTAGAGTGGGGCCACAATGGGGGATCAAAGTTTTACATAGAAATATATAGGAAAATATCTTTAAAAATCTTCTTCTTAAGAACAGCAAAGCCATGATTGGTCATATTTATATGGAAGCATCCTCAGGTAGTGTAGATTCAATTTTGATCAAATCATGTCCCCTGGGGGTAGGGTGGGGCCACAATGGGGGATCAAAGTTTTACATAGAAATATATAGGAAAATATCTTTAAAAATCTTCTTCTTAAGAATAGCAAAGGCATGATTAGTCATATTTCTATGCAAGCATCCTCAGGTAATGTAGATTCAAGTTAGTTCAAATCATGACCCCCCCCCCCCCCCCGGGATAGGATGGGGTCACAAAAAGTTTTTCATAAGAGTTTATAGAAAAATCTTTTAAAATCTTCTTCTCAAGATCAGCGAATCCATGATTGGTCATATTTCTATGGAAGCATCCTCAGATAGTGTAGATTCAAGTTTGTTCAAATCATGACCCCTGGAGGTAGGGTGGGGCCACAATGGGTGATCAAAGTTTACAGAGGAATTTTTAGGAAAAAATCTTTTTCTCAAGAAAAGAAAAGCCATGATTAGTCAAATTGATATGAGGCATCCTTGGGTAGTGTAGAATGAAATTTGTTCAAATGAGGGCCCCCGGGGGTAGGGTGGGGCCACAATGGGGGATCAAATTTTTACAAATGAATGTATGGGAAAAAATCTTCTGCTCAAGAACAGCAAAGCCATTTGTTATATTGATATGAAAGCATCATCAGGTAGTTTAAAATTCAACCCCCCCCCCCCCCCGCGTAAACTTTTCAATAATGAACTGATTTTTGCTTTTTTTTTCCTAGCCAATGTGCTCAGGTGAGCGATATGGCCCATGGGCCTCTTGTTTTTTTTTTTCTGTTTTTTTATTTTTCGATTCTAGTGAAACCTTATAGTGTTGACCATTTCCTGATATTAGCCTGATTGACTGCGGGGAATGGGGTGAAGAACCAGCAACACTCAATGAAAGACTAAAAACTTTATCAAGGGAACAAAAGGGAAACCTTTTCTGACAACAGAAAAAAACTGGAGGGGGTTGGAGTTATTAGGGATATATAGTAATGTTTTAAGATCTTTTATATCTTTTCTTTTTTTCACTTGTACTTCACATGTTAGTCCCCCCACCCCCACCCCTTTTTAAGGTAGGGACAAAAATTCACTTAATTAGTTTATTTTTTTTTCATTTAGGTACGAGTTACATACCTTGAGGTGACTAAGTCGGCTAAGAGGAAAATTAAAAATACCCCTGGTAATAGAGTTGGAACTCTGGAATATGAGGAAGGGGAGCAACCTAAACTTTTTTACAGTAAACGCTACAATTTTTTAAACAGAAAAGATCGCAAAGTCTTGTTCAAAGCACTCTTACTCATAAGGACTATGCAGGAGAAGCAAGACAAAGTTGTAAATTAGGAGAACTGAACTTCAGAAAAAATTGGATGAACGACCTAGGAGCTACAGTTCCTTGTGTGTTAAAAATGCAAAAGTATTGTGGTTTGTTTACATGAAAAACTCTTGGAGGTTAGCGTGTTTAAGAGATTATTGAAAGGTTTAATGGTATTAATTATTTTCACAGAATGTGTGCGAATATAAGGTGAATCATTCCAAAACTAGCGCAAAAGTTATCAAAAGAACCTCAAATCCAAATTCCATCAACCGCTTCTGTTCTGTATATTCACAATGTCTAGGATGACTATTCCAAAACTGGATCACATTGTAGCAATTTTATTAACTGTTACCATAGGTAACGCAAAAAAAAATCTGAATCCTACAAAATATACATTAATGCATTAAATTTAGAACTGTCAAATCAACAACCATTTTACAGCATGAATGATCTTACTATTGTTCTTGTTATTGTACCATTTCAAATGACTAAAAAAATCTTTGTCATTTTTCTAGGACAATTCGTTAATGTTGACACTGTTCAAGGTTACTATTCTAAAACCAGAATACCTGTGTAGTATTAAGATAAATAGTAATCCTGCACAGCAAAAACAAAGTCTGAATGCACATTAACATGCAACAGTGCCTTAAAGGGTTTGTGACTGATATATCATCAAAAGTTTTGTTTAAAATCATATTTCCTCAAATTCACACCATCTGCTGAATACCAAGGTTTCCTTTCCTTATCTTACTATTGCCCTAGATTTCAAGAGAGCTAATATGTTTCATTGCATTTTCCTCGATTTTTATACTATTGGAGGTCAATATTCCACACCTGGATCACCTTGATTTTGTTATATTTATTAGTATTAATTTGTAAAACGAACAAAATACTACAGCTCAGAAACGTATGTGAGGCATATGTATCTACTATAACTTTAATATTTTTGGAATACTGTCATTTATACTTGATTCAAGCTCAGTTTTGATTGCAAAGTTCTCTTCCTTCTTTGTCATTTTTCTCAGACAATTCGTTAATAATGATACTGTTCAAGGTTACTATTCTAAAACCAGAGTACCTGTGTGGTATTAAGATAAATAGTAATCCTGCACAGCAAAAACACAGTCTGAATTCACATTAACATGCAACAGTGCCTAAAAGGGTTTATGACTGATGTATCATCAAAAGTTTTGTTTAAAATTATATTTCCTCAAATTCACACCATCTGCTGAATACCAAGGTTTCCTTTCCTTATCTTACTAAAGAACCTTAAATCCAATTTTCATCATCCTTTTCTGTATATTCACAATGTCCAAGGTGAATATTTCAAAACTGGATCACGTAGATATTTCATGAACTGTAATCATCTCCCTTGAAATCATACTCTATGTTGAATATCAAGCTTTTCTATTTGTATTTGACTATTGGTACAGATTACAAGAGGCTTTATATACTGTATAAGACACATTCGTTTTTGAATACGTACCTGACATCATTCCAAAGGCTTAAGAGAAAATGTCACCAAGTTTCTTGGTATTTTCCTGGATATTTACACTGTTGGAGGCTAATATTCCAAAACTGGACCACCTTGATGTCGCTATATTTATTTGTATGCATGTGTAAAACGAACAAAATGCTAAAGCTCAGAAAGGGATTGTTATGTAAATGTACCTACTATAACTTCAATATTTTTCAAATGGTGTCATTTATCTTTAAGTGAATCTGTTTTTTAAATACAAAGTTCTCTACCTGCATCTGGTATTCTTATTAGCTTTAAGGTTTATTATGGGATGGCAGCTTTATGGCTTAAAATGTTATATATATAGCATTCGAAGTGAATAAATTTCTGTCCAATTTCTCAGACCATGTCTTCACTGTTCAAGGTTACTATTCTAAAACCAGAGTACCTGTGTAGTATTAAGATAAATAGTCATCCTGAACAGCTAAAACAGTAACATGCAACACTTCCTTAAAGGGTTTGTGACTGATATGTCATCATAAGTTTTTTTTATATCTCCTTTTTCCTGATATTCATACCATCTGCTGACAACCAAAGTTTCCTTCCATATCTTACTTATACTATTGCTACAAAATGAAAATACTCTACACAGAGAAATATCCTGACATCAATCAAAGTTATCAAAAGAACCTCAAATTCAAATTCCATCAACCGCTTCTGTATATTCACAATGTCTAAGGTGACTATTCCTGGATCACATTGTAGCTGTTACGAATTTGACATTCTCCACTATTGTTATGCATAAGTAAACAAGATGTTTCTTGTTATATGAGTCATTAAAATGATGATTCGATGGATGATTGAATGAATGAGATGTATTGACATTTATTCTTGCTTACCTGTTATTATTTATTAGAGTTATTTGAAATCAATGATGTGCTAGGTGCAAATTGTTCACCAGGTACCGAATTTCCTCCACGTTTTGAGGAATACGGAACGTAAATAAACCATTCACTGGTCTACAAATGCTTTTATATAGTACTAAATATTCTTACCTTTGATAATTGGGGTAATTAATAAATCCATTCACTGATAATTAGAGTAAAAACCTTACAATTACACTCTGCTTTTTCATACTAAGCGGCAAAAGATGTAAAGTACATTCGGAACACCTCGGATGCGTATAATAGTTAAATGTATCCGAAGCTTTCCGGCTATTTGAAGTTATGGCGCCAAATCTCATGCAATATACGTCATAATGGGTGTGAAGGCTTTATATACGAGCTCCCCGGGCTCTGACAGTCAGACGTCTGCTGTCTCACTCACTGTGCGGTCGCCAAATCTGTCAGATAACGATGACCTTACAAGAACAAGGTTCAGAAGAGTTTAGATGGGTAATTATCCCTCAATTTGTATTGACTTGTTAGCAACACTTGATGGCTTTATTAGTTTAATGAGTTTTATTCAGACACAAGTAGTGATCTGGACTCGTTATTGTTTATTGTTGAATAATATTTACTAAGGCACAAGAAGTGACCTGAACGTGATATTTATAACTCCTGACATTATTATTAACAACAAACTAACAAATGCATGGTGCATTGTATTGAGTTTTGTTGAGATGTTAGCATAACTTTTTGTCCCTATACAATTAGTTGTTTGCTATAACCTGACATTTTATATTTATACTCACTAAGTGAAGAAATCACTAGTTGGAACTTTATTCAAGACCTAAAGGCATTAGGTCTATTTACACTCATTAAAGGGTTTGTTTAAGGGTGGTTTATAAATTAACATTTGTTGGAAAGGGTGGTTGGTTTGCTTTTATTTCAGGTGAGGACAGCAGAGCCAAAGAAGAATATTTTTGTATGTTTATTGAATAAAATCTAATAAAATATTAAAAACAAATTATATCCTGTTGTCTTTCGTTCAACATTCAGATTAAGGAGCCCCACAATGTTACGCCGCTAAACATAAAGCTGTAAGTCGTAACAATTGGTGTCAGAAGTGGGATAAAGTCTTCCTTTTATTCTGGTTGATCGAAAGTCTACATCAGGATCTAAAAATATTGACTTATAAGTCTTGTTAAGTCTATTGACAACGACAAGCACATTGACATATAAACACATAAATTTGTGTTGCAATAGCCAATAACAAAAGTCAAAATGTCAAATGAAAACAGCCAATTTGAAGCCTCTGAGGAGAATGGGTGCAGGTCCTGCGATCTGAATGATTACATCACTTGTGATGTGTATCAACGGTCCGGTACCTCTTCTCCAACACAGAAATCAGGCTCTGACAAGGCTGAAAATGTAAATGAACTTTTGTTAAGAGCTGTAGAAATGATGAACAAAGAAGTCTTAAACATGAGACAAGACATTGATGAACAATTATCAAACATGAGACGAGATTCTCGTCAATTGCAAAAAAAAGTAGATGAATTAAAACAAAAGGGGACCCCCAAAGATAATGCATTCAGATATCAAGTGCATGGGTGTAGAGAATCCCTGGGTCCTCATGATCAGTCTCCTATCATTGAGGCTGGGGAAAGTATTGGTCACATAGATACCCCTGCAAGGGAGATAAATTACAATGAAAATAGAGTTCCTTCCCCTTTCAATTCCAAACCTATTGTATCAATTAAACCACCTACATTTGATGGGTCAGAAGATTTTGGGGAATATCTAGCCCAGTTTGAAATCTTGGTTGATCTACATGGTTGGAATTATAGGGCAAAGTCACTATACCTAGCTAGCAGTTTAGCGGGAGGGGCTCGTGCACTTTTAAGTGAGCTTAACGAAGTTCAGCGCAGAGATTATGATTCCCTAGTCAAGATTCTTGATAGGCGTTATGGTTCAGTTGAACGATCTGAAATGTTCAGAGCTAAGTTAAAGACAAAAACCAAAGGTGACAAAGAGTCTTTATCTGAACTTGCACAATCTATCAAGAAACTTACTAGGCAAGCATATCCTACTGCCGATTCAAACTTGACAAATGTTCTATCATTAGATCACTTCATAGATGCACTTCCCGATCCGGATATGCGCCTTCGCTTGAGAGAAAGTAGACCCAGAGACATTAATGAGGCTGAGATTTTGGCTATAAGACTTGAAACTCACAAACTGGCTGATGCTCAGAGAGTAAAAATTGTCAATGCCATGAATCCAGAAATGGATACCAATCTCCTCGCCTCGATCAAACAAGAAAATAGGGTCTTAAGGGATGATCTCCAATCACTTACAAAAGAGGTTAGATCACTCCTAAAAAATGGTCTTAATTCAAGACCCAACTCTTCTCGTTCAAGCGAGGTGCATCCTCGGTTCGGGAATGCACAAAATGATCGACAGAACAATCAGTTTCAAGTTCATAGGCAGCCATACAATACAAACAATTTAGACAGACATAATACCTACCCAAATAGACAATCTCAGAATGGTCGCTTTCAATCCTCAAATCAGGGAAACTTTCCCGTGTCGAATTCAGGGGGCAGAAGTCGACAAAGCACAGGGGTAGGCCCCAATCACTGTTAAGCAAGGATGATATAAGAGGACCTCTTCCTGCTGGAAGAAATGAGTGTATTAAAAGAGTCCTCAAAATACAGTTAATGTAACTAAAAATGACAATTTAATGGACAATAAATCAGAAAATGATGTTGAGAACAATATATCTGAAAATGATGTTGAGAAAATTATCAAGTTTGAAAATCCAACTAAAAATGAAAGAGTAGGTGATGTAAGGGGGCGTGGTGAAGGAATTTTTGTTGTAGGCAAAATTGAGAACATTCGAACTACAATGATGGTCGACACAGGAGCTAGTGTAACAATTATTAGCTCAGATTTTGCAGACAGTTCAGAGTTAAAGGGGAAATTAGATTTGAACCCTTCATTTGTACATTTAACATCTGCTAGTGGGGAGAAAATATCTGTACTAGGGGAATGCCTAGTGAAAATGTGTGTGGGAGATGTTACGGTGAATCAAAATGTGTTAGTGGCTAATATCCAAAATGAATGTATTTTGGGTTTAGATTTCATGAAAGAACACAACTGTGACGTTCTGTTGAACAAAATGAAGCTTAGAATAAAGGGGGTAGATGTTTCTTGCTTTACAAATGAAGCTTTGAATGAGCAATGTTGTAAAGTATTTCTGACAGAAACTATAGAAATTCCCCCTCTCAGTGAATTTATTGCCCCGGCTAAAGTAGAAAACCCATTATTTAATGACAAGGTTACTTTGTTAGAGCCTGTGGCAAAATTTTTGGATAAACATGATGTATTAGTTCCCAAGATTTTGGCAAAAGTTGAAACTGATAAAGTACCTGTTCGATACATGAACTTAGGTGATCAGAGTGTCAAAATTTTCAAAGGGACAGTGGTGGCAAACTTAGAAGTTACTTCAGGGATTGTTGAAAATACTCCCCAATCAATAAATGTTTTGACAAAACATGAAAAGAAAACAAATGAAAAATTTCCTGAACATTTGAAGTCTGTGTTTGAAAATTCTTGCAAAAACATTGATCAAGAACAACAGCAAAAATTAAGAAAATTACTAATAGAGTTTCAAAGTAGTTTCTCAGTAAACTCTACTGACATGGGGTTGACAAACTTAGTTAAACACAAGATTAACACTGGCAATGCACCCCCAATAAAACAACTACCTAGACGCATTCCTTTAGCCAAAATGCAAGAAGCTCAAAATGAAATTAAAGATATGTTGAATAAAGGGGTCATTGAAACATCCAACAGCCCATGGAGCTCCCCTATAGTTTTAGTCAAAAAGAAAGATGGTTCAATCAGATTTTGCATCGATTATAGAAAATTAAATGACATCACGATCAAAGACAGTTACCCAATCCCTAGAATTGATTCTACACTAGATGCATTATCAGGGTCTAGATGGTTTTCAACAATAGATTTAAAGAGCGGATACTGGCAAGTCGAAATGACTCCAGAAGATATCCCCAAAACAGCAATTCAATACCCGGTGGTGGACACTGGCAATTTCGTAAAATGCCTTTTGGCTTGTGCAACGCTGGTGCGACTTTTGAGAGGCTCATGGAAAAAGTTCTATCAAATTTGTCATGGAAAATCTGTTTAGTTTACCTTGACGATATTATTGTTCTCTCAAAAAGTTTCGATGAACATTTAGATAATTTACGACAAGTCTTTACACGTTTGCATGAAGCTAACTTGAAAATAAATCCCAAAAAGTGTACTCTTTTACAAAAACAGGTCTCATTCTTAGGACATATAGTTGGGGAAAATGGTATTGCTACCGACCCTTCAAAAATTGAAGC